GGGGGGGGGGGGGGGAAAGACCTTGAAAAAGGCTGCAGGGAGGGACAAGAGACAGGTAGGGAGGTAGAAAATGGAGGTAAGAGCCGCCGGTTCAGGGAAACTCTAATTGCTGATTGAGTCTCCCAAGTGGAAGATATTTGATGATAGCTCTGAATCAAAGAAAGCAAATGCTGAGACCTCTGTCCAGAGCACTGGTCCATTCACCAAATATTTGACTTATGGTCACCTTGCTTCCTAGCAGTAATTGTATTCAGAGAGGAATAAATCAAAAAAAAAAAAAAGGAAAAGGAAAGAAGGAAGAAAGGAAGGGAGAGACTCACAAGATGAAATCCTGTCAAAAAACTGAAGGAAAACCAGAAAATGAGAGTGAACCAAAGCTTGAGGAAGAGCCAAAGCCTGAGGAAAAGCCAGAGGTGGAAGAAGAGCCAGAAGAGGAGGAAAAAACGGAAGGAACTTTTAGAGAAAGACTGATTCAGTCTTTGCAGGAATTTAAAGAAGATATACACAACAGGCATTTAAGCAAGGAAGATAAGTTTAGAGAAGTGAGTGAAATAGAGGAGATAAGGAGAGTAAGAAACAAACTTATAGTGATGCGTTGGAAGGTTAACCGAAACCATCCTTATCCCTATTTAATGTAGTTTGCCTTGATTTTATTTTTTTCTGATATTAACATTGCCATTTAGCTTTCCTTTGATTTGCATTTTCTTGATATACCTTTTTCCATCTTTCTACTTTTAATTTGTTGCTATTAGTGATTTTAGATGCATTTCTTGTTAACCTGCATCTCATTTTTATCATATTTTGAACAATACACAAGTCTCTGCCTTTTAATAGGAGAGCTTTACTCATTTGTACAAAAAGAGGTTCCTGACAGGATATAAAATGAAAAAAAAAGTTACTAAGTAATATGTGAATATCATATTTTTGAAAGAAAGAATACATTTGTATATTACCTATATGCACAGAAAAATGTGTGAAGGATGAAAGACAAAAAGTAAAATCATTTGTAGGATTATGAGTAATTTTTTACTCTGCTTATTTGTATTTTTTCTTATTCCTAGAATGTACACACATTATTGTTAAAATAATAAAAGTTTTATAACAAAGAAGAAATAACTAACAGTATTTAATTTATTTCTAAACGCACTGGGGCACTTAATATTTGTTGAGAGAATTTTAGAAGCAAATGTGAATTCCAAATTACCACCAGACCACTTAGCTAGAAGAATAAATTTATATTTTTTTCTCATCTGTAAAATAGAGACTCTGATCTCTAAGGGATATATGAGGACCAAATAAGGTAATCACTGTGAACTCTATTTTAGCAGGTTTTCCCCCCCCATCAGCCCATGCAGGATCCCAATTCCCAAGGGATTTGTATCAGCTATTTGGGATGATAGAGAAAGTAGTTCTCACCTGTACTTAAGAATAAATCCAGGCAACTGTTAGGTGAGTGCCACCTTTATGTTCCTTTCCTTCTGTGCCTGCCCAACCTCCCTTTATTATCCCTTTGATATTGCCATGTATATTGGATAGTTCTGCCCCTTCATCCAGGCCCCTGCCTATGGGCTGATAATGTTCTGGAATTCTCAAATAGTGAAGCCTAACATATTTCTTTGGAACACCCAGTGGGCTGAATCCTCAGACCCACAGAAGGGGGGAGAATGCCCATTTCTTAAATTTACATAGTTATGCAGGGCAACTTGGGCCATATCTTATAGGTATCTTGACAGTTAAGACTCCGACACAATGCATCAATTTGGGGATTGGACCAGAAGACAAGTCTGAGTAACAGATGTTATGCTTTAATCAGAATTGTTTCTCTTTGAATCTAAAGATTATGTTTTTTTTTAAATTTTTTTTTTCAACGTTTATTTATTTTTGGGACAGAGAGAGACAGAGCATGAACGGGGGAGGGGCAGAGAGAGAGGGAGACACAGAATCGGAAACAGGCTCCAGGCTCTGAGCCATCAGCCCAGAGCCTGACGCGGGGCTCGAACTCACGGACCGCGAGATCGCGACCTGGCTGAAGTCGGACGCTTAACCGACTGCGCCACCCAGGCGCCGCCTAAAGATTATGGTTTTATCTTCTGACTATTTCCTTAGGGTGAGTGATCTCTCCCAGAAGACTGGTGACAGGCTCTCCTCACCAGTTCCACAGATGCCTCTAGACCTGGGTAAATTTTAAAGGGAGGTTCTGCTTCAGATTCTGTGTCTCCATCTCTCTCTGCCCCACCACTGCTCGCACATTGTCTCTCTCTCATAAATAAATAAACATTAAACAAATTAAAGGGAAGTTCAAGTCAGATTTGGGGATACTGCCATCCTTACCTGGAAATGTGAAAGTGCTATGTAAAACTGTGTATATCTGCATCCAAATCTACATACCTATATAGATATCTGTATATGTATATATGGCTCACAGTTTTTCCAGTAGTGTGTTATTTAATTTTTCTGTGATGCTCTTTTTTGGGCAATTCATGACTTTAGACTATTCTTCAAAGTTGTAACAACCTGATGGATGCTAGTCGGGCTGGATTCTGACTGGAGTAAAAAAGCTTCCAGGGGCTCACTAAGTCAGTTTTCTAAGACAAGATGGATCCAATCCCCTGGCACTCAAAGGAGTGGTACTCAGGTAGGATATAGAAAGGCTCATTCAAACCACACTCCTCTCCATGGTGGGTCTGACTTTGGTTTCTCTGATTCAGATGAAGCAGGCACTAGACTCTCCTTTGCTGATGACCAGGCTGTCCTGGATATACTTACCTGGAGGATGACAAAAGTCCCTATAGCAGGTCAGAGCACTAGACTTCCTTTCTTCCTTTTATTTTCCTTCACAAGGGTACTTGATGAGAACTTTTTATATGGAAGAAGACCTCAAAATTGACTAACTAAAAGCATTGGTTGTGATAGTCTGTCCGAGCCATGACAACTGTGGATGCAATCAGGTTGGCGTTAGAGGGCCTGGTGGTAGGTGGGAATAATTTTAGATTTTAGATACTACACAAATATATTAAAT